TGTCCTGTGGTGCTGTACACTTTCAAAGGTAGAGCAACAAAATGCACCGAAATGCCTCACTTGTAACACGCCAAAAATATCAGATCCTACACTTACATTCTGTCCTCAGGTAATCTTAGTGTTCTGCTTGTCATGGTTACAGATCTTCTTCTTCATCATCATCATCATCATCAGATTAGATTCGATTCGATTAGATTGTATTGATCCCACACCTGGAAATTCACATTACTGCATCAAAGTGTCACGATAGGAGAAGAGAATAGCTTTTAAAAAAATGGAATTAATTTTACAGTGGTGCAGCAGAATAAACAAAAAAATAAATTAAAATATTTAAATAAAATAAACAAAGAAAAATATGTTGAGATCATGCACATAAGCAGAATATTTTATTATATTTTTTTTAAATCTATTTATTCATTTTTTTCATCCTTAGTGTTTCCTCAGAAATGATGCTGGTCAACACAGCACCACACTACTGTATTTTTTTTTTTTTACCTACTGTCGCCCTTTACAAGCGCTCTGGATTATATCCAGGGAGCCCCCTGCAGGTTTTATATTTTATGAAGAAAGGAGGAGAATCCAGTGACTTCAGAGTCGCCTGCAGTGTAAATAAGGTCAGAGGCAGGGCATGGGAATGAGAATGACGGACATATTTTTTTCTTTTTAGTCCTCCAAAGACAGTTTAAGACTAAGTTTAAGTTTAAGACTCAAGATGTGACCTGAACTCTCCATTCAGTTCAATGGGTTAATGTCCATTTATAAAGGATGTAATTAAGGGCAGAGATTGCATGACTGTATGAATGTGTGTGTGTGTGTGTGTGTGTGTGTGTTTACAGCGTGAACGGCTGTACATCTCTGTACGAATGGTGCAGTGAAGTTGTCATTTTCCATTAGAGGAGGACGATGACTCATGAATGCATCTTCAGGCCGTTCTATCTTCTTCGTTTTTTTTTTTTTTCGCTTCTCACGGTGTTAAAATTTCTGCTGCTTAATTCTTTACAGTCATGGGGCCAGAACATAGACAAACATTCAAATTGACATTCAGACCTATGGATCATTTTTATGGCAATAATAATATATATGTATCTGTATACTCTGTATATAGATACATATATACATATATAATTAAATTTAATATATATAATTATATATATAATACATCATATATACATATAGTTTTCTCTCAAACTAATACCTGTAGTAATTTATATTTATATAAACATTATATATGTATATATATATATACTATGTATATATTTAATAAATATAATTATATATATATTATATGCATATATGTACATATAGTTTTCCTTTTTCTAATAGTTTTCTCTCAAACTAATACCTGTAGTATTTTTTCCTACAGGAGACTTCAGCTTCCAGACAGGTTTGCATCAAATTTCAGTTCAAGAATTTTGCCCAAAAACGATGTTGACGTTGATTTGACTCCAATACATAATAAACAAAAGCCATGAATCTGCGCTAATTCTGTTAAATTAGTTAAAAAAAAAATCCAATGCATGTCCATGAAACTTAATTACAGTAGAGAATCAAAGGGGAAGCAGATGGTCCTCAGGTGTTTTGTTTTTTTTCTACCGTCCAATCTGTCCCTGTTAGTGTGAAGGGACAGTTCTGCCCAAATATCTGCCTAATGAGACACAACAGTGTTTGGACACAGACGGGTGGTGCACAGGAAACCGAACCAGCCAGCCTTGAAGTATTATGTTTGTAATGTTTTTTTTTTTTCTTATTTTGTTAATGAATAATTTTCTCTATTTAAATTTTCATTTCCATTCGTTTCCAAACGCGGAGCTCCACAGCAGCTGACTGTCCTGCACCGAGAAACGCAGAGAAGCACAGAGGAAAATCAGCAAATTTTCGCCTGCAGAAACACAGCTGCTGCTGCTGCTCCACTGCTGACTCTGTGAATCTAAAAAAAGGTTTTAAACAAGTCGTCTTTAGCATATTTTTGCCGCTTCTGTCACAGTGAGATAGTCCCTAATGGCTCAAAACCTAAACCGCTAGCTGCTCACTCTCCTGCACTAAACTCCATGGGAAAAATTCAAAGTTTTTAGTCTTATAGTACATGAGAGCTGCATTTCATTAATGAAGTCCAGAGAAACATTTCTACACATTTAAGTCACTACATATTCCATATACACTAGATCAGGCGTGGGCAAACCTTTCACTTGTGGGCCACAATTGTCCTAAATCAGGAGCAGATAGATGGAGCTTTCGTCTGAACTCAGATAAATGACATGTAAAAGTCATGCATAACGGCTAAAATGCTAAAATGCTTGTATCATTTTCCATGTCAGCTATTGGAAAAACATGAGTATTGCAGGGAAAAGGCAGAAGTATAATGATAAAAAACATATAATTTGGTGGGCCGGATTAAAAAGCTAAACGGGCCACATCCGGGCCCAGGGCCTTAGTTTGCCCATGCCTGCACTAGACTTAATGACAGAAGAAACAGTAGTAGAGTTCAAACTCCTGCATTATAAATAATAAATAAATAATTGTGGATTTTTACTTTGGACTCTAAAGCAAAAGCCAGTTGTTTTTTTTTTTTTGTTTTTTTAAATTATTACAAATTGAAGTTAACAATGAAAAAAAGTATGGTTTAAACAAAATAATTTGTCTTAATAATAATAGATTTAAGCTCCAATTAATGCATATTATTCAACTTTTGCTTCTTGTCTAAAAACATTTATTTTGTTTAGCCCCTTAACAGGTTAAGGTTTTGTGCAAAGCTAGCCCTCAGGGCTAATATTTGTATTTGAAATTCTGCTTGTTTTCTTTGAAATTTCACTGAACAAAAAATGAAAAAAAAAAATCCAGTAAGAAAATAAGACGCAACAAAAACAGCAACGAATTAAGTATTATTTTCTTCTCACTTGACAATTGGACGAAAATCTAAACGCTAAAGTTAGCCTGTGTCCCAGTGATGTGTTCGAATCAATGACGCCACAGCTTTATCAACACAGTGACTGTCTGATGTGTGTGGGTGTATCTGTACAACAACCTGATGCTGTGGAGTCCACTCATGTGGGTGTGCGGGAGTGCATGCGTGTGAAGACGTGGCAGAGCTCTGCCCGAAGCTCCAGGCTCCTGCTTTTATCAAATGGAGTCAGCGCGTGTAAAATGGTACCTCAGTACTCAGCACATGTCGGCCATGTTGGTTCCTCCGGTACTGAGGCTGAACATTTATCACACTGATGATAAAAAAACACACACACACTCGCGCCGGGTGTGTGCGCGCACAAGTGAGACTGTAGCACTCGCTCGCAGCCGAGCCATGCTGTTGCCATGACGACACTACAGGCAAAGTGGGTCAGCAGCCTGCCACACCCCTGTCGGCATAGCAACAAGACTGGTCAATTAAACCTCGGCAGTGTGATGACTCACACGCGCGCGCGCGCACATTCACAGCTATTCTGTGGAGACTGCGGTCCGTTGTTTTTCCTCCAGCCGCTAATCACAACATTATACATTAATCTCTTCTTTTGCTAGTTATACTAGTCAATGCCGAAGCCTGACGTTAGCTCTGTTAACATTCACATCATCATTTTACCGAAGGTTCATCAAGAGGTTCCGCTCCATTAACTCTTTTTGTGCAAAATCCTTTGGGTTCCTAACAGGAGCTCTATAAGGTACATCATGCGGAAATTGTGTTCATGTCCTTATAAATAAATCAACAACACATAGTCATGCAAATGTAATCTTAACCCGGACTCTTCTAATGGCTCCTTATGTATGCTGTAGTGTTGTGTTTATGTGCAGCAACTGTACCCTGTGTTGGAATAATCTTTTTTTTTTTTTTTTTTCACCTAATTTTCCATTGGGACCAGCTTCTTTCCGGCGGCAAATACAGCCAACAGGTGGCAGTAATGAAACTGAAAAAAATGAAAAGCTTTGATAAATTTTGTCATGGACTAAACAATGAATGGGTATACACAGCTTAAATAGGTTTGAGTCATAGGTTTTTATATCTTTAGATGTGAACTCCACCTATCAGCAGGCGCTAACTGCTACTATAAAATCTTTAAAAAAAATTTTAAAAATTAAAAAAAATAAATACATAAAAGGGGGCCTTATATATTTATGAAAAACAATTTAAAAATAAATATGCTTTTTCATCATTTCCTGCAGCAGACGCTCAGTTTTCGCAACTGACCGCTGCAGAACCTACTGGGGGTTTTTTGGTTTTTTTTTTTTTTCTTCTTCTAGACTAAGAAGTTTGTCTTCACTCTCCTCAGAGAGGAAACTGTGGCCTATTTATTTAAAGACATCGGCAGCAAAACCACTGTAGATAAAAATAAGAACAACTGCAGCCTCACAAGAGAAGCTGAGGCCGCATGAGGACAAATACATAATACAGAAAGAGAACGCGAATCGTAAACGCAAAAACACACGGAGAAGAAATTCCCATTTCTGGATGGCAAAACGAACCCTAACTTAACATCCGACCCACACCCCTACGAATTGAAATGCTATTGAGAACCTGATAACATGTATATTTTATCTGTACAAACCCGTGTATGAGTTGCTGCCACCTAGTGGCTGGAGGCTTGTTATCATTCAAGCATTCACAGCAGTGGTACACTTATGTCCAGCGTGCCATATTCTATTGGAAGCTCCTCATGCCCATCCTGGCATCTCCTCCCCCCGCCCCCCAGGGGGCCCCGCCCCACTATTTGAGAAGTACTGAGCTAACAGAAATTGAATGTGAAATCTGGAATCAAATTGTCGAGTAAAGTATCACAACAACTGACACTTTAACAGCTACTGTAAACGACTCACCGTATTCTTATGAGAAATTTTACCCATGCCCCACTAGAGGGAGCCCAAGTACCACAAACTGTTCAACTACCATCATTTAAGGAACCACTGTTATAGATCAATCTACTCTACTTTAATTCTAAATGTATATCCTGTTGATTTCACATGTTTTATCGGACATGATCGTTCACCTGTTTGTTTGTTTGTTTGTTTGTTTTTAGGCTGTAAGGAGTGCTGTGAGCGATGTGTGGGGAGCCTGCCCTGGGCCTCACTCATTGCCACCATCATCCTGTACATGGGCGTGGCCTTGTTCTGTGGGTGTGGCCACGAGGCCCTCAGCGGAACCGTGAGCATTCTCCAGAACTACTTTGATGTGATTAGAGCCCCGGGAGAAACACTGGATGTCTTCACCATGTGAGTGACCGCTGTTCAGTCGATTTGAAATGACAACACGTTCTCCTTAGGCGATAACGTAACGAAATAACACCGTTTTATTATAACGATTATTTAATGGACACTGCGGAAGTCTGTGATTTTTTTTTTTTAAAGAACCGGACCCTGCTGGTCAGTGGTAGTAGTGCAGCGTGACTGCCTCTTGAATTAATGTAGTAAAACGTTCAACTTCCATGTGCAGTCCATTTAAAAAACCTGAAATATTATAAAAATGTTGACTCCTTTTTCAATGTTATGAAAAACATCATAATGTCACTGTCTTCTAATGTATATTGGGCATGGCAGTATTATTTATTATATTATTTATTATTTATTATATATTATTTTTATTCGCCAGAGATGCACTCTAAAAGTCAAAGCTAAAACACATCATCCTTGTACCTCTTACTGCTCTGACCGTACAAATTTGAGCCATCGGTTACTAACGTCTGTATATAACAGAAGAAGCAAAAAGTTCAACCAACAAAACATCATACAAGTCAAAAAATGTGGGGTTTTTTTGTGTTCTCTCTCTCTCTGCAGCATCGACTTCCTGAAGTATATCATCTACGGACTGGCCGCCGGATTCTTTTTGTTCGGTGTCCTGCTGCTGGTGGAGGGCTTCTTCACCACCGGAGCCATCAGGGATCTGTATGGAGAGTTCAAGATCACTGCCTGTGGACGCTGCCTGACCGCCTTTGTAAGGACCGTCCTGTGGATTTGATATGACCGTTTCATACACACTGTCCTGCTGTAAAACCACCAACAGTCAGTCAAACGTCAACTGGGTTTCGTTTAAATGTCGCGAGGAGAAATTGTAGCAATTTCAATCAGCAAGTAAACATACAAAAAAAATGCTAAAATGCTTTTAGCCCTTTCTACGCTCTCAGTTGGGGAAATGCAGGCACTGCAGGGAAAAGACAGAAGTATAATGATAGAAATCAATAACGTAACTTAGACAAGTATAGTGGGCCGGATTAAAAAGCCAAACGGGCCGCATCTGGCCCTCGGGCTGTAGTTTGCCCATGCCTGCTTTAGGCTAACTATTTTTCTGCCAAGCGTTTGGAACCATTTGTTAAATTTTTCAGACCCAGTATTTATGATTAACTCAATACTAGATCTGAAAACGTGTCTTTGTTGTTTTTCTACTTAAAAGTACATTTTAAAAAGTACACATTGCTACGGGTAGGCTTTCTACTAGATATTCTAGAAATAGCTAGTAGCTAGCGTGCTATTACTGTAGCTAACTTCTTTAGCTACTTGCGCTAGTTTTTGGTTCTTCGCTAGTTAGCCCTGAGCTTACTTGAAGGACTTTTAACAGTATTTTGTGTTGTGTCTGAAAATACGCTTTATTTTCAATATGTCTTTGTTTATTTGCTTGTTTACTTTACTTTTACATACCTTGTCTTGTCTTCAAGTGTTTGAATCTGAGATTGACACGTTGCCACCTGTGTTTGCCGACAGCTGATGTTCCTGGCTTACCTCTTCTTCCTGGTGTGGCTGGGCGTGACAGCGTTTACCAGCCTGCCCGTCTTCATGTACTTCAACGTTTGGTCCATGTGTCAGAACACCAGTGTGGTGGAAGGAGCCAACTTCTGTCTGGACCTGCGTCAGTTTGGTATGTGGTCACAGTTCATCTGTTCGTCTAATTTTTGGTCAAATATGTACAGAATTATGTGTACGATAAATACACGCTAAGACCTCCCCACTACTGCAAACATTTGCATTTTCAAGTACATTGTGAGTGCATTGACAAACTATATTAAATATATGTTAAAACACGGCGCTAAGCTTTAACAAAATGCACATATTCTCCTTTTATAGTCATGTCACAGAAGGTCGAGAAGATTCTGCTGCATAAAGCAGGTGACTCATGAAAATACCCACCTGGCTCACAACACGGAAAAAAACCTGTGTGCCTGGTAAAACGGCCAAATCATTACAGAGAGAAACCCCACAGTGGACCATGTGGTGTCAGGACATGTCTGTAGATAAAGCCTACTGACTCTAAAAAAAAAAAAAAAGTGTCGCTTTAAGTAAACACCGTTATTTCACACGATGCAGTCGCAGCGGCGGAACTGTCCACCATGTTCTTCACGGCGCCCACACAAGAACCAAAATAACACCTCCAGTGTTCAGTTTGACTTCTACGCAACACCGCCCTCTGTTGGCCAAACTTGTAAAATGAACCTGAAATCAATTGATTTTTTTTTTCCTTGGGGAAAATGACGTAATGGTAATATAATGCAGTCAACAGAGTAGACAATATGTTCATGCAAAAAAAAAAACCCAAAACACTGTTTAAAATCAACAGTAAAAATAAAAAATGAATACATAAAAGGTTAGAAGAAATAATGAAAAATATTAAAAAATTAAAAAATAAAATAAAATAGTCTGAGCTTATAAAATTGTTTTCCCACAGACTGCCATATTTTCTTTCATTATAAGTAATGCTCCTATTTAGACAATAACATTAGATGTGTTGCACATATGTGGCCATATTGTCCACATTCAAACCAAGGATGGAGGAGAAAGTCGGTTCAGTCCTCCTCAAATCTCCCCGTTCAAAACTTTAAAGGTCTCTGTTTTTCCTTCCTCACCGTCCACGTTCTGTCTCTGCTCTTTCGCTCAGGAGCCGTGACCGTCTCTGAGGAAAGGAAGCTTTGCACAGACACCGAGAAGTTCAGCAAGATGTGCAAATCCAATGAGGTAGGAGGATGCAGATGCAGATACCACAAAATATCGCACAGGGCGTAGAAGATATTTTGTCCTGAAAGTGTAACTTAAAGAGAAAACACTGGGTTATTTTTTTTTTCCACTAACCTTTGTATTTTGTGTGTGTGTTTCACAGCTGGATTTGACCTTCCATCTGTTTGTGTGCGCACTGGCAGGGGCAGGAGCTGCTGTCATTGCCATGGTGAGAGACATTATTGTCAATGGCAACACAACACTGTATCTAAAGACTCTGAAACCCTTTGCTGAATAAATACTATAAACCTGTCTGTGTGGACGCCCTAAGATCCAGATAAGAAGCTGTAATCCCTGCAGTGCAGCCCCAGGGCCCAGGTTAAGACGACTTTCTGACGAGGTGTCTTCATCTCTGAGACTCACTGCTCTTAGATGATTGAGCGCCTCGTTCTATCTCAAAGCCTAAAGTCAAGAGAAAATCCACCCTTCACTTTGGCCAGTAACTGCTCAGAAACTGAACTGAAGTTGGAGTTCGGTTAATTTAGTCAGTTATCCGTGATTAATTACATAACTGTCAATACAGTAGTTAACTTGAGATGGGTTGAAAATTAACTGCAAATTCCCTCCACATCAAGAATGATATTTTCCCAGGATTTGAGTACTCATGTAGACATGGGCGTCGACATACAGTATGTATGTCAAACTATGGCCCGCGGGGCCAGATACGGCCGGCTGTTCTTTCCGACTCAGCCAGGCAAACACTGGTATAAGATATAGACTGACATCCTTTTGCTCTATGCATTATAACGAATTGACTGTAATGTCTATTGGTGCCACTAGATGGCGGAAGACAACAAATTCTCTTTGAAAGGTTTACGTTTATTCTTTTATATCAAGCATTCTACATCCATCTAATACTGAGTCGGCTCACCAGTCAAATCCTGAACCAAATTTGATCCCGTGAGCTAAATGTTTAACCCCTGGTATCGACGTGTTTTGTTCTTTTTATGCTAGCTTCGCCACAATCCTAATCAAGGACCAGTGGGATCATGTCTAGATCAGTGGTGTCAAACTCAAATTCGCAGAGGACCAAAATTAAAAACGCTGTATGAGTTGCTGCCACCTAGTGACTGGGAGGCTTGTGTGGTACACTTATGTCCAGGGTGTAAGCCCCTGACGCCCCCTCCCCCTCGGAACCTCACTACGCTCCCCCAGATGGGCTGCGCCCCACTATTTGAGAAGTCTGACTGGAGTCTCAAGCTAAATTCACTTTGTTTGTTCTTCAATCTGAACCTTTTTTTTTTTTTTTGCATTGATAACTCACTTAAATTATAGTAGTTACTATCTTCTTATTCAAAAACACAAATACTACAAATATATATGTATTTGAATATTTGAAGTAAACTCTCTTCAAATTTAAGAAATCATCTGCTTGTACTCGCACCTCCTCACCCCCCCCCTCCCCCCCACTCTCCTTCTACCTCCCTCCCTCAGGTCCACTTCCTGATGGCCCTAGCCGCCAACTGGGGCTACCTGAAGGACGCCAGCAGGATGCAGAAGTACGAGGACATCAAGTCCAAGGAGGAGCAGGAGCTGCATGACATCCACTCCACACGCTCCAAAGAACGCCTCAATGCCTACACATAAACACGCAAAACGCACACACACACACACACACACACACACCCGACCATGAGAAACGACACACACACAACATACACACAAACACATACACACATACCTATCAGATGCACACACAATGATAATGACAAACACACACAATTAAACACACAAACACACGTGTAAAGTAATGAAAAAAACAGACATTTAGAATAAGGCTGAAACGATTTCAAGTGATGAACACATAAACACCATTGTTATCTCCTGTGTCTGCAGTACGTCAGTGGCGTTAACGCCCCTAGTGGTGATCATGTGACTTTGTGTCTTGCGTCATTCTCGACCCTGACGTCAGAGATTTTGATTTGACGCTAGTGACGTGGGGTTTGATGCTCTCTGGCTCCAGATCACCGAGACTGAGGAGAGTAGGTGTACACACCGCCCCCTAGTGTCCTTAGCTGGTATTTAACCCACATGCAACAGTCATCAAGCGTTGTCTTAAATAGTTAGACTTCATGAGAATCAACAGCTCTGTCCGCTCTGGTGTTCGGCTGTGACGTCACACACTCCACACTCGGCCACTGATCTACAGCAGTCACTTCGATAAGGTTGGTGTTTATTATCTCATAAAAAGGGACTTCAGTTAGAACACGTCGTACAAAAAGGGGCAGTTCCTCCCTGTTCAACAGCACATATGTGATTCATCCACATGCATTTTCACTCACTTACTGTAATCTCACACACACACACGCACACGCACACATACGCATACACAGACAAAAACACAGTAAAAGTGGCTAAATGGTCGCTGTTGTGCAGGTGGTGTTGTACGGTGGTGTCATGCAGTGTCGTGTCGTTTCGCCACTTTTACAATGGTTGGTGTTGCGCAGGAAGCCTCGTACCTTCCTGGCGGTACAGATGGGTAGCTTTGCTAACTTTTCCCCTCTTCCTTACCTTAGCTCCTTTTTTTCCCTCCACCTCCCTCACTCCCCCCCACTCCCGTACGCCCAACTATCTCCTCCTCCTGTCATCGGCCCAGTTTCACCTGTCGTTGAAGGTGCACAAAAGTTTGTATTTAAGGCACGGAATGATAATACGGCTGTGCGTTGAACGGATTTAATTGGCTGAGGAGTGTCACGCGTCAAGGCGTAAAGTGCGTGCGGTTTATCTTCAATACGCCTTGTTTGTTAACCAAAGGCTCGAAAAAAAAAAAAGCTCAATGATAATCATGAGAATAATCGTCAATTTCAAACATTTATTGGTTCGACCTTAGTCTTCAGGGGGGCGCTAGAGTAGACGTAGGGTAGACGCCCATAAAAAATTAGCACTGTACTGTATCTCAGCTGGACGGTGAAGGTTTTAGAATGCAACTGGCTTAGATTTGGGGCGGAACAACCCCCGACCCGCTGACCTGCAGGCAGCACGCTTCGATTAGGTCATACAGTATTTCCTCGTCCAAGTCCAGATCAGGTTTCAGCTCAACCTCGGTCTGGCGTCCAGCTAAGGTGTGAAAAAAAATCCTAGGTGCTTCATCAGTGATACTGGGCTT